CTGTTGAAACTGATCAGTTTCAGCAGCGGCTGAATCTGGACACCAGTTCCGACTTACATACAGATTCAACTTAAGAACAAACCTACAGTCCCTATCTTGTACGTAACCCGGGGACTGCCTGTATGTGTTTACCCTTAGGGGTATGACTAAGTGTATTCGGGGTCTGCATAAGATTCTAAGGGAGAGGCCTTTTGTTTCTGTGTCTTTGTTCATTTACAGAATTGGGAAGTGTAATATATGTGGACAGAAGACGCCAATAAGTCTCTTGCTGCTTGGTGTTCAGTTTCATAGTATACTGGGAGCACAATATTGTGATCTGTAACATTTTATTGGGTAGATTCCCAATGTGTATACAAACCTTGCAAAAACAACTGTGCTGTTTATATCAAATCAGAATCCTCTGTGCATCAAGATTTTACTGCTGTACATACAGCACAAACACTTTCTGGTTAAATTGTAGAAGGAAAATATTTATTGTAACTTTCATGGCAAGGTTAGAGAACTGATAAGAAGTGTGAGATAATTGACATCACATTTAATGATCAAGTGCTTTGTAATTTTTTGTCCTTTCCCAGATGAATTTAATAAAGTAACTGCAGTTTAAAATAAAGATGAGCTACTAATTTGGCTCGAGGACATTTTTTCTGACTTCAGTCATTGGCCTATAGTGTGCATTAGCACTAGGAACTTTGTATGAGCACTAGGCACTGCATTTCTCAGGGGACTGACAATGCAGTATAGGGCCTTTCACATCTAGGTCATCACTTCAAATCCAATTCAGATCAGTGGAGGCCAAAAATCATCATCATCATCTGCCAACTGGTCAGTGCTGGATGTGATTTGATAGTCTCAGACCAGTTCTCTGTGGCCGTGGGTCTGTTTAAGAAAAGAAAGGGAAATAAGCAGCAGCCTTTTTTTTGGAAAATCTGAGCAGAGAGACCAAGAACTGAAGGAGCAGAGAAACTAACCTTTCACCCCGAAAGAGAGTTCCTCCAGCTTAGACCTGTGGGGAGCTTGCATTACCATGTACCTGTCATGTGCCTTCAATTCCTAACTCTGTCAGTTTCACTCTACCAGGCTTGTGAAAAGTACCCAGCACCTTGTTAGAGTAATAATTGGAGGAGACTTGCAACACGTGTTCTGGGGAATTCTTAGGTACAGTGACCACCAGTGCAATCTGTAGAATTGGTATCTGCATATTATGAATGTTGTAATGGCGTGAAGAATAAGGGAGACTGCTGAATTTTTTTATATGGATAGCACGTACAGTGTACCTGCTTGCTTACTTGCCTGCCTAATGTATATCAACGGAGCCTGTCAGGGGGGAAAAGCAAGAAATGAAACCGTGACAAGTATAAGATATTGCCATATACCAGAGTGAATACCAAGGGTCCTTAAGGAAACAATGGGAGAACTATTAATTAGGAAACTATTTGCCTGGCTCCAACCAGATTATTCAGGTTTATTCTTCTCAGGCCTGAGGCTAGGATCAAATGGGTGACTAAACGGTTAAAAGCTCTGGCCTGGAGAGGAAGCCGGTAGCAGCAGGTGGAGAGGGTAACAGGTGACAGAGACACAGCAAATGCTGCAGGTCTTGTTTGTCTCTCCCAGGTCAGGAGTAGGAGGTCTTGGCTGGATGTGTCAAAGTCAGACAGGACTCACTCAGATTTGTCAGACCGCTCTGTTTATTAGCAAAGCCGCTCTGCTAATTCACCCAGAAAAATGTGAGTACCCCACAAGGTTCAAACTCCTTGATTTATACAGTCAAAAGAAAGCCAAGTTAACAGGATTAAAAGGGGAGCAAAACTTCACATGATTAGTGTGAGGCTAGTCAAGTATCTTCATTTCCACATCAAGCACACAGCAATCTCCTGTCCATGTCTCCCTGGTTATCTCAATTGCTTTCTCCCTAACACCTAATGTTCCTTTTCCTATTAACTCAGGCCCACCTGGCTAGCACTCTGATCTGCATACCTATAAACAACATTAACATACTTTTCTCCTTCCTGTTCAGAGACAAACAGTATTCCTTCAACTTATTCAATTATTACAGCATAATTCATCTTTCTCTTTCACTGTGAAGCAAGAGGGAGGGAAGAGCCAGGGAGGTCATGTGCTTCTTCCATAGCTGAGCATCGGCCTTGTATCCAGGACTGAGCCTTAAGGCTCAATCTAGCTCATACAACTTCACCTTCAAGTGGTCACGGAAGAAGGCGGTTTAGGGTTTCTCCTTGTATTGCCTTCAGAATGCATGCTTATAAGAGGCATACCTACAAACAACATTGATAGAAATGTAGCCGTGTTAGTTTCAGCTACAAACAACATTAACATACTTTTCTTCTTCCTGTTCGGAGACAAACAGTATTCCTTCAACTTATTCAATTATTACAGCATAATTCATCTTTCTCTTTCACTGTGAAGCAAGAGGGAGGGAAGAGCCAGGGAGGTCATGTGCTTCTTCCATAGCTGAGCATCGGCCTTGTATCCAGGACTGAGCCTTAAGGCTCAATCTAGCTCATACAACTTCACCTTCAAGTGGTCACGGAAGAAGGCGGTTTAGGGTTTCTCCTTGTATTGCCTTCAGAATGCATGCTTATAAGAGGCATACCTACAAACAACATTGATAGAAATGTAGCCGTGTTAGTTTCAGCTACAAACAACATTAACATACTTTTCTTCTTCCTGTTCGGAGACAAACAGTATTCCTTCAACTTATTCAATTATTACAGCACAATTCATCTTTCTCTTACAGTATAATTCTTTCTACTTTCACAGATGGAACTTACCTAAATCTTGCAAGGAAAAAATGAAATTTATCCTTTTCCACTTCTTCCTATGTGCCTTTGGGTGATTAAATAATCATTTGTTTTAAAGAAGCTGTTTTTGAGTCACTTTAATCTGCTGCTGGTCAGAGGCTGCTAAAGGAAAGGGGCTTAAGAGGTGCCAAACATAGCTGGTCCTGTCTTCTTAATGAGGCCAGTAAACAGGGATGTTATTGCACAGAGACCCGGTCCAAGAGGGGTAGAACTGTGTGGCTCCCTCCAGAGAGGAGTGAAGATGACAAAACTAATCCCCAGTGGGGCGTTCTAAAAAGGGAGGAATGGGTTCTGCACAGCTCACCCTGTCACTGTGACAGATGGCATTCCCTATCCTGCTACAGTACTATGCTATTCCATACCTGCCTTACGCCAGTATATCCTCGACTATCTGTATGGGGACTATCACAGTAAAATTAATTAGGCAAAAGAAATATTATAAAGGTGTTTATGGTTACCTCTATCGTTTAGTATTTAGTCCTAGTCCTATTCTTATTACTATTCGTATTTTGCAGGTCTAATGATACCTATCACGGGTCTGGATGCTATTCAACTAAGCATTGTACAAACAAGTAACAGAAATATAGTGGCCTACCCCAGAGAGCTTATATTTTAAGGCCCCAATCCTTCAGGGAGAATGATGTGGGCACATCCTCCTTAGCTTCTCAGATGCCATTGACTTCAGTGTGATTTGGAAGTGCTGGCATCTCAAAGGAGGTTCTCAATACCTTGAAGTATGGAAGGGTAAGGGGACTTCCCTGCCATTTCCCTCCGATCTTCATGTTCTGGGTCCAAAACTTCCTGTTTGTCATGAGGTGAGCAAACCCCGTTCTCCTAATAGAACAATTTGGGTGAGATATTTGGGAGGGGATCTTCCCCTGTTGGGGCCCCATTCCTGCAGGCTTTATGGGAGAGGACAGTCTAGTGGCCTGTAGTGTTAGCAGAGTATGACCAAGGTCTGACTATGCCTTGTCTCCAAGGTCTGAATTTAGCATAGCAGTTTTCCAACACCAGGGCTACGTCTAGACTGGCCCCTAATTCCGGAAAAGTCATGCAAAGCAGGTAAGTCAGAATAGGGAAATCTGCGGGGGATTTAAATATCCCCCGCGGGATTTAAATAAACATGTCCGCCGCTTTTTTTCCGGCTTGGGG